AAATAATCAAATTACGAGATGAAAGTTATTTTTAATTGGTTTAAGATTTGAAATGTAAATTTTTTTTTATTATTATACGAATTACAAATATTGTAACTCAATATATTTTATTTTAAAATATTATTAATTATTGTTTTAAAACAATATTAAATTAATTTAAACATAGGTAATTTTGCATAGGTTTTATTGTTTTATCTAATTAATATCTGTTGTCTGTCAACCATTTTATAATTTGCATTTAATTTACATTGATTTATTTATAATTTGTAACTGTAAGAAAATTGAATTCCATATTTGTACACTGATTTAATTTAGCTAAATAAACATTAGGTATTTTTGTACAACACTTAGAATACAAATAATTTATTTTTATTTACAAAATTTTTATAAAATGTAACCCCGGGTTTTCTTACGCCAGCATTACACATTATTTTTAAATACATATTTACCAACTTAACTTTATCAAATAAATAACAGTTTTATCTAAAAAAATATTGTACCTAAATTATTACCCATTTCTCTTACCATTTAATAATGCTTAAACAATTTGAATTTTATTATTATTAATCAGTTTAAATATTATAACAGTAAATGAATAATTACGAAAAATTAAATAATTAATTTAATTAACACATTCAATTATTTTATATATAATATTTACACTCTAAATATCATTTTTAATTGATATTTTTTATTTTATTACATTTCATATTTTAAAATGTGCTACATAATAGAAATTACATTTAATTCAATTAATGATCTTTAAATAATATTTGAGACTATTATATAAACACCTTGATTATCAAGGATAACTTTAAATATGAGCATGCGCATATACAAATCTTTAATCTCAAATAAACTTATTAAATAAATATTTACAAAAATTATTGACAATAAAAAATATTAGCGACATTTTTAGGTTTGTAAAACATTTACTATAACCAACATCATAATAAAACAAATGGATTGCAACTCAAACTTGTGTGAACAAAACCAAGATATATTAATAGAAAATAAGCAAGGTGTTTGTGTAATAACATTAAATAGACCGACAAAATGCAATGCATTTACACTTGAAATGTATGCCAGACTGACGACAGCCCTCAACACCGCCGCCACAGACGATACTGTTGTAATGGCTCTCATACGGAGCACCGGTCGCTACTTTTGCACCGGTAATGATCTTGGTAAGGAACTGTACACAATATGATAAATTATATAAAATATATAATTGTACACAAATATAAATTACAATTGGATTAATCAATCGCGATTAATTTCTAGAAAATTATTTTTCAACCAATATTAGACACGCATTTCATTATATAATAGACAATGAATTAATTGTAATCAAATAAAAATTATTGACGTAAAATAAATAAAACATTATAAAGCTATACATTAAAATATTAATGACATACATAGGAGGTTTAAGTATTTATTTAATATTTGTAATTATAAAACTGTACAAAATATGATAAATTTTGGTAAGTATTATATTTGTTATAAAATATGTATAAATTTGGGGAAGAACAGTTAGCGGCTTATTTTAATGAATTAAATACTTGTAGTTTATAAATAATTTATAATATATATTATTTTAATTGATTTATCATCCAGGTAACTTTGAGAGAGCAGTTAACGAAATACAAGGTGACATAACCGCCGGCGCCGAAAAATATGCAAAACTATTGCAACAATTTATCGCCGCTTTCATAGACTTCCCAAAGCCTCTGATCGGCGCCGTTAACGGACCGGCCGTTGGTATCGGGGCTACAGTACTGGCGCTCATCGATACAGTTGTGGCATCAGATTTGGCCACATTTCACACACCATTCACAGCATTGGGTTTGTCACCCGAAGCTTGCAGTTCGTATACTTTGCCGCAAATAATGGGCTCATGTATGGCCGCAGATATGCTGGTGTTTGGCCGCAAACTGACCGCTGCGGAGGCCCTACAGTGCGGACTCGTGGCACGTGTTATACCCGGAGCCGAGTTTAGCTCATGGGTTGAGAAGTGGGTGTTTGACGGGACGACTGGTTTGATAAACACTTGTTATCCAAAGTCAATGCAATTCACGAAACA